AGCTCCACGACGGGGCCGTGCTGGCGGTCTCGCACCATCGTCGCTTGCACAACTTTCCGGAAAGCCGCCTCCTAAAATGTGCCAGACAGACAAACTCGGAATGTGACACAGAAGCATCGCCCGGGGGAAACCGTGTCAGTGTTGTTACAACCTGTCCCCAGGGCCAGGCACAGTTCCAAGCACCTGTGACTCCAGCTAACTGCAGAGCTGGGGCAGAAAGGTGCAGCACGGTACGACCCGGTCAAAAACGTGCTCTCTGTCTCTCCATCTCTCTGTCTCTGTCTCTCCTCCTCATCCTCGCCCTCTCCCCATCTCGTAAAAGGAGAATGAAATCGGCCCTAAAGCCGGATGGCATTAAGAACAGATAACTGCCAACTCCCTCTTGACTTGTGAAGCCACCGGGGAGTGGTCTGGCACTGGTGCCCAGGGTTAAAGGGGCCAGAGCCAACATGGTTGGCTGCAGTTCGAATCCTGGCCCTGGCAGTTTGAGAAACACTCGGGTATACATGCACATGTGCCCTGAATCCTGACAGGCCAAGGCCCACAGGTGCTCAAGCCCCCAGATAAATAGAGCAGCATGTGTTAGGTGCCCACGTGCCCCTCTGTACTCCAGGCCACCTCGGGGTCACACACAAGTAATGCTGCATTTGGTACACGCGGGCACACACACTTTAGAGTCCCTCGGGAGCTGCCTTCTCCCCACTTCAGAACAGGTGGCATAGGGGTGACTGTACAGATGTGGAACACGTGGGCAGGAACCTGTGGGTGCGGAGGGTATGGGACCCATGGGAGGGAAACCATCAACGTGGAAACCATGGATATGGTGGATGTGGAAGCCATGAGGGAGAAGGATGTGGGGCCCGTGGGCAGGAGCCTGTGGATGCGGAGGATGAGGAGCCCGTGGGTGGGAACCCGTGGATGCAGGTGGCTGACTGCATCTCCCCTTCCTAAGCCGGGGGCATTTGCCACGCTGCCTCAAGTAACTGTGTTCATGGCCACACCTCCCACCCTGTAGGGAGGCAGGGGAGAGCATCGGAAACGTGGCAGCACCCTGCTCCTGCTGATGGACATGCCACAGGGAAGTCATGCCATGTCCCTGCTGTACTCTAAGCACCCAGAACCAACCTGGCCCAGGGGAGGTGCTCAGGGGACGCCCACATCCCAGGAGGGGAGCATGCTGGACTGAATAGCGGGTGCTAAAGATGCCCATGCCCCATCTGCCACAGGCGAACGCTGCCACCCACGCACCTTGCCCTGGGAGATCAGAATTCCACGTAGCGCATCGAAGCCGACCGAAGGCCCGAGACCGGTCTCGTCCAGGGAACCCTCCAGGTCGAACATGGGGATGCAGGGGCAGAAGAGCTCCGAGACATGATGCAGCAGCAGCAGGCGGTTCCGCAGCGCGATGACGGGCAGCTCCTGCAGGTGGTTGTACTCCATGGGGACCTGCAAGGGCGGGGCGCGACACTCAGCCAGGCTGCAGGTGGAGGCGAGTTGAGAGCAGCACAGGACCTCTCAGCCCGGAACACGAGTGCACTGAGCTGCGTCCAGAGCAACGCTGTGCGGACCCAGGGGCACGCGGGACCCACAACGCCTGCGCGGACCCAGGGGCACGCGGGACCCACAACGCCTGTGCGGACCCAGGGGCACGCGGGACCCACAACGCCTGTGCGGACCCAGGGGCACGTGGGACGCACAACGCCTGTGCACTCCATGGGGACCTGCAAGGGCGGGGCGCGACACTCAGCCAGGCTGCAGGTGGAGGCGAGTTGAGAGCAGCACAGGACCTCTCAGCCCGGAACACGAGTGCACTGAGCTGCGTCCAGAGCAACGCTGTGCGGACCCAGGGGCACGCGGGACCCACAACGCCTGCGCGGACCCAGGGGCACGCGGGACCCACAACGCCTGGGCGGACCCAGGGGCACGCGGGACCCACAACGCCTGTGCGGACCCAGGGGCACGCGGGACCCACAACGCCTGTGCGGACCCAGGGGCACGTGGGACCCACAACGCCTGTGCGGACCCAGGGGCACGCGGGAGAACTCGGCCCGTGGGAAGGCGGGCACTGCCAGGACGGCTCTGCGCAGTTTACAAGGAGCACAGAGGACGCCGTGTGGACACAACAGGACGTCGGCCGGCCTGAGCAAGACCCTCGGCCTCGTTTTCTGACATTGCAACCCTGAAGTGTTCCCAAGGAAACACCTCTGTGAACCTTAAGGGAAGGCAAAGTGTGTGTGGCTGTGCGTGCAGGGCTCAGAACGAGGTCAGCACCGCCGGGACTCCTGGCTAGCCCCTTGCCCGCGGCCGAATCTCACTGACCTGAGCAGGGAGCTTGCCAGCGCTGGCAGGCTTACTGGTCGACCAGGCGAGGGTGTGTGCGGAGCCGCAGGCCACACGGTTGACCTTCTTACCCTGCAGGGCAGCTACCAACCGCGGCCTCTGGATGGCGTTTGTGGTTCCATCTCCCAGCTGTCCCTCGTCATTGTCTCCCCACGTGTAAACCTCGCCTAAATGAAGAGAATCGAGAGTCAGAGCCTGCACACCGGGACCGGTAGGGGCACGACTGTCCACGTCCCTGCCATGGCCAGCACCGGCACTACTGCCCTTCCACTGGGCGCCGGTCCCGTCCCAATGTCAACCCCCTGCACGGACGAGGTGCGGACACACTGGAAGCACCCATCCAGAGGGAGCCTTCTTCCTGGGCGCTCCGCTGCCCCCTCGTAGGGAGAGCACAAGACGGGTCCTAAACCACTGCACCAGCTCACAGGCCGAGCATCGTGCGGGCACAGGTCTCAGAACCAACGATTAAAGTAGATGGCGAGAGCCCGAAACCCGAGGACTCCCGGACTAGGCACCCCCTGCACACACGGCCATGACTTGCTGTCGTGAGAGGACACAGCACGCCAAGCGAGGGAAACAGACCCGGGGTGCCCACGGTAGCCCCGGCCAAGCTTCCGGAGAGCCAAGCTGGGGCCACAGGTAGCTGCGGCTCCAGGAGGCTCGTCAGATTCCACGCCCAGAGCTGTTGTGGGGCTGACCACACAGCCGCCTTGACCTAGCCCGTGCCACCTCCCAGGTTCAGGAGGAAAGCAGGTTTTAGAAGAGCCAGGTTTCCGTGCGAGTGGTTCCAGCCACGTGGATCACCGAGAGAGCCAGGGAGCGCCCCCCGAAATCCAGACTCCTTCCGCAGGCCAGGCCCATGCGAGGACAGCGTCCCAGGCCTCTGTACAGCCAGGAGTCATACCAGGCCGAGGGGACAGGCCCAAAGCCCGAGCCCACAGGGGCTGCAGGCGTGGAGACGCCACGGCCCACCCTGCCACCCCAGCCATGGCCCCACCTACCGTCCTCGGTGCAGCACACGCAGTGCAGGGAGCCCGTGGCGATGGCGATGGCCTTCTTTCCCTGCAGCCCCTGGACCTGCCGTGGCCTCCGCACGTGGTCGTCGGATCCGTGGCCCAGCCGGTGGTAATCGCCCTTGCCCCTGCACACAAAGGAGGTGGGACCTACCGGGCCGGCCACTGCCTCTCCTGGGCCGGCCCTACACTCAGGCCACCAGCCCGGCCCAGGGCGACTCACGGCACTCCCCGGAACCGTGCCTACCAGGTATAGACGGCTCCGGCCTTGGTGAGGGCGACGGAGAACTGGGACCCGCACTCCACTCTGACCACGCCCAGGCCCGTGAGGGAGTCGATCTAGAGGACGCAGAGGGCAGAGGGTGGGTCGGGTGGCGCCCCTGATCGCTGCTGACGGGCCTTAACCTCACGAGAGCTCTGAAACCCAGCCCATGTCCAACACCGAGCGGCCTAACGTCCCCGGCCTGGAATCCGAGCACGCGGAGTGAAGCAGCGCCGTCCCACTGACGGCAGGCATACCACAGCACTGGCACAGTCCCCGGGGGCATGCCCAGGCCGACCTGCAGCCATCCTCCTCAGACTCCTGGCTCCCTTCTCCACAATCCTGATGCTCCTCCTCCACCGCCCTGCCCTCCCTCGGACCCCTGGGCCCACAGGGAGGAGCAGCAGGGCTGGGCGGGGCTGGCCCAGGGCCGGTCCTGCCCACTCCTCCAGGCCAACTGATGAACGCCCCAGTCTTTACCCTGTGACCTGCTCCCACCTGCCCAGGCCCGGGCCCAGGCCCTGCAGGGCAGCACCCAGGGCACTGCCGGCTTTCGTGGGGCCATCTGGTCTTGCCCAGCAAAGCCTGTGGTGTTCCCAGACTCAGGCGCTCGCATTTAACCTAACCGCTTTTATCAGTGCTCCCTTGGCTCTGGCCCCACCACCACGGCATTAGCGATGTCCTCCCTGGCCCTTCCCAATGCCCGTCCCCAGGCCTTGAACACGCAAAGCCTGGAGATGCCTTCCTGAGCCTACGAGGGTCACGAGGGCAGCTGTCCGTGAGTGCCCCACCCCGTGCCTGTCTGTGATGCGGTCCCCGCACCTGCAACTGGAGGGGCGCAAGGGGGAGGAACGGAGGCGGCCTGGAGACCACAGCCTCAGCGGTGCCCGCCACAGGGGACTACAAAGGAGGGTGTCCTCACAGCCACAGCCACGGCCACGGCCACGGGTGCAGGGAGGCCCCAGCCAGCACCTGCCGACGGCACTCTGTCCAGGCTGGGCGCTGCAGGCCGCGGGCAGCTACTGAACAGCACGGCCTGGCCTGGGCAGGAGCTCCCCACGGATTCCCGATGAGCCTGAACCTCGACAGCCCGTGCCAGGGAGCACAGCCCGGGAGAAAGGCCGTGCAGCAGGCCCGGGCTGTTCCCCCACCCGAGGGCTCTAGGGCCATCTCTCAGGCCACCTGCAGCCACGTGGATTCTCCCCACTGGCAATCCCAGTCCAGCAAGAGAGGACCCTGAGTGGAGACAGGCCCCAGGTTTCTCCGGTAGCACCCATGCATCTCGGCTACACCACGCTGCCGTGTTCACATGCTGCCAGCCACGGGGTGGAGCACCGATCCAAGCATAGTGATGCCCCGGCCTCCACAGCCACCCGACCGCAGGACAGACTGCCCAGCCTGGGCCCACTGGACTCGGCCGCTGCACGGCCTCTCCCCGGCGTCTCCCAGAAGCCCACGTGGGAGACGCAGCCCTCCGAGCAAGCTCTCCTACAGCTCGGGGCTCGCCACACAGCACCTCCTCTCCCGCCGGCCGACCTGCTGAGCCCTCAGCTCTGGGGCCCTGCCGACTAGACACCCTAGGGGAGCACAACAGTGCCAGCGTGAGCCTCTGGGCTGTCACCCACTTCCCCCAGCCGCCCATCACCTCTGCAGGGAAACGAAGATGAGGTGACAACTCCTAAGAAGCACGCAGAAGGGCGGGGCCAGCGGCCTGGAGGCGGCGAGCTCAGGAGGGCCGGGAGAGTGCGGCGGGAAATACCTTCATGGGCACTTTACAGCCGTCGCTGCCTCCTCTGCCGAGCTTGCCGTAGTCTCCGTCCCCCCAGGACCAGACGGTGTCATCGTCGGTGAGGCAGAGGGTCTGGGCATCGCCACTGCCACAAGCAATGCCAACCACACGGTGGCCCTGCAGCGCCTCCACCTTCAGAGACGGGGTACCAGGTGAGCTGGCCGCAATGGAAGGAAGCTGGCCGAGGCAGGCTGCGGGGCGCTGGGTGCCTACCGCGAGCCTTCACAAAGACCAGGTCGTCTGACCGGGCCTCCTGCAGGACACCATCCAAACTGCAGGGGGCCGTGTCCTGCTGAGCAGCCCGCAGTCGGAGCGGCCTGGGACGGCCCGGCCCACGGGAGGACAACCTCCGAGGTGGACCTTACCTCCACTAAGAAGAAACTACTTTGTGAAGGGGCCACATCGGAAGGGTCTAGAAGGGGAGGTGCCGTGCTCCCTAGAGCACTAACGACAAGGGCCGCCTGCACCTGCAGGGACGAGCGGCCTGCGGCCTGTGCCCTCGGCGCCTCCTCACCAGCTTCGGCTTCAGCTGGTCCTCGCTGTCGCTGTGCCCCAGGCGGCCGTAGCGGCCCTTGCCCCACGTGTAGAGGTCCCCCGCCGCCGTGACGCAGGCGCTGTGGGCTCCTCCAGCAGCCACGTCAACCACTTCGATTCCTCTCAGGGACTCGATGACACGAGGGCGGTCACACGGACTGCAAAAAGTCCCCAAGGAAACTTAGTCTCACACTCGGATGTGTGGGCGCATTAAACATTTGGCACCCGGCTTCCTGTTTGCTGGTCACTACTCAGCGTGTCCCTCCCACCCCGTCCGTCAGCTGTCAGACCCGTCAGGGACTTCCTGCCCCCTTCACACAGGGTCTCTGATTGCTGGGGGGACGTTCCCAGCTCTGAACTGGGCCGGAAAGGCTTCCGCAGTCGAGGGCCCAAGTCGCCACTGCCTGTTTTGAAGGCTGTGTGCTGAGAAGGGGTTTTACGAACTTAATGGGCTGGACAGGAGGACACAGAGTCATAAACGGAGGCCAAAGTGGTGACCGCTGGCCCTTTACATACACCGTTCGCGCACCCTGCCGTGAGCCCATCTTCACTCGTGGGGCGGTGACACAGGAATGTCACTAGCCCACCGTGCGGCCGGCACTAGCACACGTGTGCTCCCTCCTCGCTGAGCTCTGAGCTCGCTCTGATACCAGACCTTGGCCGGACGGCTGACTACGAGCAATCTTTCCAGCCTGGGGCAGGCCTTCTCGACCTCGCCACAGCATCTTTCAGAGCAGCTCATCACTTTTATACGGTTCAGCTTATCACATCGTTCTTTAATGGACCATGCTTTCGGAGGTCTGTCACACGTCTTTGCCTAAGGTCACAAAGGTTCCCTGTCATTCTCTTCTACAGGTTTTGTTTTGGGTTTACGTGTGCGATGGCTCACTTTGACCTAGCACTTGCTCATGGTGCGGGATATGAATTTAAGCTCATTCTGTGCTATACTTGTTCCAGAACTACTTGCTAAGAAACGGTTCCTCCCACAACGTCTCTGCACGTTTGGAAGCTGTAAGCGCCGAGTCGACTGCTGCAGCGTGCGCTGTGAGCGGTCTAATCTGAGCAGCTGCCGGGAGCGGGTCCGGGGGGGGGAAGTGCGAGGGCAGCGTGCCCGCACGGCAGCCGACGCACAGGGAGAAGCGACAACGGGGACGCGCTC